AATACTGCACGTTTGTAAGGTCGCTTTTCATTGGATAATCTAGACGTTTATATAGTTTTATATACACGGCTGCTGTCGATTCATGAAGAAATCTTACTTTTTTCTCTAAAAAATGATGCTTGCTGTATTATAAATTCGTTGTAAAGATTGTTGACAGGTTATATAGCCGTATATAAACGACTGTTTGCAATATAACCCTCGCCTAACGGCTCGGGTTATATTTATAAATAGCCGTTTATATAGGGCCATATAACCTGTCAACAATTTTTATAACTAATAATATGTCAGTCACCTTGCCAAATACAAATGAAATGCGTTTGAAACCTCGCTTTGCTATATAGCATTTGTCCTTGCACAAACTAGATCTCATGCATGTCGCGGTGCGAAAAGCTTAATTTGTAGTCTTATGAGCTATAAATATGAGCTATAAATAACAAATGAACTGTTTTTTGGAATACCAAAAATATGGCATGTTATTGTTATGACAACTGTAAATAAACACTAAAATGGAGGAACGTATCAAATCGTCAAAACTTCATTTTTGGGATGTAACTTCGTCATCGTTATCATTCGGACATATATCGTTGGAACTGAGTAACAATTGCTACATAAGTTTTTGGCCAGCAGATGGAACGAAAAGTTGCCAAATTATAGACAATTGTCCGGCAGAATGTTACAAAACTTATGAAGATGAAAAAGGGGAACATGGTGAGCCAGAAACAATTCATGTGAATGGTCTCGATGTTGAAGCTATTAAATCGTGGTGGGACATTTTTCTGTCGGAAAACCCAAAATATCACTTACGCGAACAGAACTGTGCAGTGGTGGTTTACAAAGCTCTGTGTAAAGGGTCGCCTTGGTTTGAGGAAAATATAAATTGCGACTGTATCAAAAAACCGAAACAAGTTTTTTCTTATGTACAGGACGGTTACAATGAAAAAAATACTGCAATTAGCTGCTGCAGTAAATTGGCGAATATTTTTTATTCATGTGTTTTATTCGGTTTGTCCGTAATTAACGAAATCTGGTCAATACTTACGGGTGTTAAAAAGCAGCATAAAATGACAGTTTCATCTAGTATATTTAGAATAAAAATGGGAGGAACGTGAAGATGGAAGACATTCGCCAAATGATACAAGCATTCTATAAAGATATTAATATACCAAATATTCGATTGTTCTTTTGAAATGTCACCAAGTGTGTCAGAAAAGACAGTATGCCACCCAAAGGTTAAAATATTAGCGATACCAACTACTGCCAATTCTATTAATCTCTAAGTGTAAGTAAATGACAAATGACAAGAACATTTGGAAAAGTATATTTGGATTGGATTCTTATTATGGACAAGATACCTGCTATTAGCATTTGCATAATCTGATAATTGTTTGACTTATCCTGATCGTGTAACATTTACACAGATGGACTAAACAAAAGTTCTATTCTCAAACTCATCCAGTAGTGAGTACAGGTGAATACATAGAATGTACAGTTTAAATTTTGTTTAAAATGACAACCTCATAAGACATCTTTGTACTGGTTGTTTCTTTGTATCAAAATTGTTTTCATCGTCAGACATTATACTTTGAAAGAAGGTCAAAAACGTAAAAAACATGTACAAATTTTTACATAGATCGAATGGGAAACTTTGCAAAGGAATATAAAGAAATCATTATGCTTTGAATTAAATGAAAATGATTTTTATTTTTATAATTATAATTCACAGCCCAGCTGATTGAAGAGCTTGCAATGCTTTTCTTCTTTTTTGTCATTTGGCACAATGAAAATGATGATTCTGAAAAAAAATGTGTTATTAAACAAGAAATACATCAAATGTTACACAAATCTCGAAAAAAAAAACATTTCCAGTACCATCATATCAGACAACCTCAGAGGAGTTTAAGATAAAGGGCGAGATTTGAACAAATGAAGTTTCTTAAAAAAAACCATGTATTTGTCAAAATCAATATGAATACAAATGTATAGGAAATATTGAAGTGTGAATATATTAGAAGTTGTCGTGAATGTAAATAAAGTACCACTGACTCAGTGTAAAAATATAAATGTAAATAAAGAAATCATTATACTGTAAATATACAAATCATTGAATGCTGAATGAACTGCACGAACTGTGAGTAAAAAAAAAACATGAACTGTGAAATGAAGACATCATTGATCATAGAAATTATGGAACAGTGAAATGAATGTCTACTCTATTCAACTGTAATTATAGACATAATAGGCATTGTTTAGTGGTGAAAGTAGCCATCATTGAACTGTGATACAGAAGTGTGACGATAGTCCTCATAGACATGTGAATACAGGCATTTATGAATAACCTAATAAATGTACTAATTATATCATTGTCTTAGAATATAAGAGTATGTGTCAATAAACAGTGAATCACAAAACTATTTATTTTGGGTCTTTTCATAGAAAGAGAATGAAATACCTTCCTTAAATTTGATAAAAATGACACAGTATTTTTGCAAAAGGGGTAGAAAAATTTACCTTTCACTTTTGTACTGACAAGTAAAGTTTATGAAAGAATATATAAAGCTTTACCTTTTGTCATTTATTCATGGTATTCAAGTTTAAACAATGGTCTTTATGAAAAATTATCAATATATTTTTGTCAAAACTAGTATACTTTTAAACCAAGCTACAAGTATCAGTTTTATTTCTGGCATTTGTCCAAAATGAAACAAAGAAACTACGCCTTAACCATTTTAAATTCTATAAACTTGTCCATGACCTATAAGAAAGAAAATTTTGTACCTGTTGGAGAAATAAACCTAAATGCTTAGGAATGAAAATTAATCATTATATTAGTGTTATAAATTACTGTGAAAAATCAGTTAATGTTATGAAAGTCACTATTTGTTATGGAAAGTCAATGTTTACTTTGCAAAGTCACAGATAAGGGATTGATAGAGAAAGTCAATGGTTGCTATGAAAGTCATTTATTGTCATGCTAAGTCAAAGGTTGCTATGCAAGTCAAAGGTTGCTGAGGAAAATCAACACTTGCTATTGAAGTCACTAAGGAAACCAGGGCTAGGGCTAAATAGATACTTAGGAATTCACTTGTTGCCAAGTAAACTCAACAGTTGCTATGGAGTCACCTATTGCTAATGAAAGCAAGGGCCAATTTCAACCCAAACTTAAACCCATGGGAAAAGGGTTATTTGATTTTAATACAGACCAGGATAGGAAAAACTAACAAGAGCACCGCTAGGCGGAGCATTATATGCCCGAAAGTGTTTTTTTTTAGTAAGAATGAAGCATTTGTAAGACATGGGAATTAGCTGTTCATCCTATAAAATTTTACAGCTATAGGTTGATTAATACTTAAGTTATTAATAATGACCTTAACCTTTGACCTCGTGACCCCAAAATCAATAAGGGTTTTCTACCTTATATGGACAATCATCCTAAGAAGTTTGAATATTTTGGCGTAACTTTAATTATGCTCTAGAAACTGTTTCCAGTATTAAGGTAAAAATGACTTTGACCTTGTGACCCAAAAATCAATAGGGGTCTTCCACCAAATATGGACAATCATCCTATGAAGTTTAAATAAGGTGGGCCAAATGGAACTTACGTAATGCTCTAGAAACTGTTTTTGTTTTAAGGTAATTGTGACCATGACCTTTGACCTAGTGACCCCAAAATCAATAGGGGTCTTTTGCCCAATATGGACAATCATCCAATGAAGTTTAAATATTGTGGGCCAAATGGAACTTAAGTTATGCCTCAGAAACTGTTTTCAGTTTTAAAGACATAGTGACCTTGACCCTTGACCTTTTGACCCCAAAATTAATAGGGGTCTTCTACCCAATATGGACAATCATCCTATGAAGTTTGAACATTGTTGGTCAAATGGAACTTAAATTTATTCCGGAAACTGTTTTCAGTATCAAGGTAATAGTGAACTTGACCTTTGACCTCAAAATCTATAGGGGTCTTCTACCAAATATGGACAAACATCATATGAAGTTTGAACATTGTTGGTCAAATAAAACTTAAGTAATACTCCAGAAACTGTTTTCAGTTTAAAGGATATAGTGACCTTGACCTTTGACCTTGTGACCCCAAAATCAATAGGGGTCTTCTACCCAATATGGACAATCATCCTATGAAGTTTGAACATTGTGGGTCGAATTGAACTTAAGTTATGTTCCGGATACTGTTTTCAGTTTTAAGGTAATAGTGACCTTGACCTTTGACCCCAAAATCAATAGGGGTCTTCTACCCAATATGGACAATCATCCTATGAACTTTGAACATTCTGGGCCAAATGGAACTTAAGTTATGCTCCGGAAACCAAATTGCTAACAGAGGACGGACGGACAGACGGACGCCAGGAGGTATAACATAATATGCCCTTTCGGGCATATAAAAATGAAATGACTTCGTGAGAAGATATTGGATATGTAATATGGTAAAGTAGTACACTAATAACTTTCAGCAAATTATATAAGGGCCTTCCTTTTGGGTAACTTGGTTTGCAGGCTTTCTAATGTAAATTGTACTCTTAGTCATAGGATAAATAAGCTAAAAAGAGGGAAAACATTGTTTTACTGTCTCATTAATGCTTACTCACAATAAGAACACAGTTTTTAATGTTTTTCTTTTTTTCCATGTTGTATTCAAAATAAGTAAAATCAGGATGAAATATATTTAAAAGGTTATTTTAAATGTTTGTTGACAATATATTTTGTTCTGTACTGCTGTGTTGCCTCATTATACAACAACTGATCAATTATCATAAAACATTTGTACAATACATAACCACGACTTTTGCCTCAATATGGACAAGGCACAGATTAAGTCAAGGATATAATTACCCCACATACATAATTGTGAAGTTTTAAATGAACACTGCTTCAGTGATAGAAGAAACAAGAATCTGTGTTTGTTAAACACAAATGCCCCCGGGTTCACTGTTGTCAATAATTTAACTTTAGAGAGTGAAGTAGCTAATTTGTATGTGTCTTCTCACCTGAGCATGTTTTACTCTAGCCTTCAGTTTCTTTTCCATCTTAGCCTTTTCATCTTGATTATTTCTCTCAAAAGCCTTTAGCTATTAAACTCGGTAAGTAAATGCCTTCATTAATTGTTAAAACTTTTTTAAATGATAAGAAAGAACAATTTGTTACTAAGAGATGCAAGCAAATTATCGCAGTTCATGAAGAAAACCAATCATGTGTAGAAATCTGTAATTGGCACCCTTGACCTTGACCAACTGACCTCTATCAAAAGGAAGAATATCATGCAAGTTATTTTCCTACCAAATATGAGATAAATCTGTCAACAAATAAAGGCTGTAGGGGCAAAAGTGTAAAAAATCTATTTTAAGCACTGGTGACCTTGACCCAACTGACCCCTAACTCCATCCAAAGGAAGAATATCATGCAACTTATTTTCCTACCAGATATGAAATAAATCTGTCAATATATAAAGGCTGTATCGGCAAAAGTGTAAAAATCTATTTTAAGCACTTGACCTTGACCCAACTGACCCCCAACTCCATCCAAAGGAAGAATACCATGTAAGTTATCTTCCTACCAATTACAATACAAATCTGTCAATATATAAAGGCTGTATGGGAAAAAGTGTAAAAATCTATTTTAAGCACTTGACCTTGATCCAACTGACCCCAAACTCCATCAAAAGGAAGAATACCATGTAAGATATCTTCCTACCAATTATAATACAAATCTGTCAACAAATAAAGGCTGTATGAGCAAAAGTGTAAAAATCTACTGACCCCTACCTCCATCCAAATGAGAATACCTCAATTTTATGTTCCTTCAAAATATACAAGACATCTGTTGATAGAATAAGGTTAATACACCTGTAAAAGTGTAAAAAATCTATTTTTTGACATTGGTGACCTTGACCCAAATGACCCCTTACTAAAGGAAATGGAAGAGGACCTCCCTTGGTATGACTATTATAAACAAGAAAGACATTAACTTAAAAATAAAGGCTGTATGAGCAGAAATGTTTAGATTTATTTTTTTACACAAGTGACCTTGACCTAGAGACGCCTAACGCCACAAAAAATTAGAGGACAATTAAAGGTATCCACCTACAAAATATGAAAGATATCATTAAATAAATTAAGTAATTAGGTGAAATTTTTTGATAAATCCAACTTGGCGGAATAGGTTAACCTATTTTCAAAGTGATAAAAAGGGAAATTACTGGGAAAATGGATGGCACATTTATATAACTTGGCAATATCATGTACATTGTATTGATAAGTAAGTGTGAAAATTATTAAGCCATAAGTTCAGATAGAACATAAGATATTTCCAACTTGCCGGTTTAGGTTAACCATTATTCATTTTCTAAGTGCTGAAAAGGGCCATAACTTGATGCAAATGAAAGCCATAGTTATGTAACTTGCCAAGATCATATACTTTGTATAGATTAGTAAGTGTGAAAATTATGAAGCCATTGGTACAGGTAGAACTTAAGGAAAATCCAACTTGCTGTTCTAGGTTAACCTCGTATGGACAGACAGACGGTTCAATTACTATATGCCCGGGGGCATAAAAAACTTGCACACACAAACCAGAGCCATGATTTAAACTAATTTATGTTAGTTATGGGACAATCTGTCTGTAGATTTGATAATTGGAAATACACTTGTGAAGTTTGAATGCAGTCTACGCTTCGATAGTTCTTGCTGCAACTCACATTTTCAATGAAAATATAGTGCAGGATGTTGGGGCAAATAAAATAGCACTTTTTATTTACTGAATACTCCAGCTATAAATGACTGCATATTCATTTCCTGATACTAAGATGTGTAAAAGTTTCAGCTTCCTATGCCAATTACCTTCTCCTTCAACATGAAAGAGTAAGGTATCACTTCTACACAGTATTGTTTTAAGTCATCAACAAGTACATTATAGTATTCACGTTATAAACTGTTGAACTAGTCCATATACTCGCCAAACCACTGCTATAAGCATAACTACCATAGAAACAGCGAAGAAACCAGATTCCTTTACTTGTGATAACAACATCCGTCTGAAATACACAATATACTTATTCATTAAAATCTGGAAAGGGGAGATAACCCTTATAAATATTGGCAGTTTATGCTATAATTATTATATTTTTAGTCTACCAGTAAAGGGCCAGGACATCCTGGACATGAACATTACCTGACAAAGTTCTGGTTGCTTTTTTTTTTATTGAAATTCCACATACTGATAATGGACTGCTCTATTTAAATCAGAATGGTTGAATCTTAACCTCGCATCATCTGTTTGTATATTTGTTTGCTTTTTAGGCTGATTTAAACACAATTTTTTTGGTCATATCTCTTCAGTTAGTCCACTTTGCCTTCACTTGAGGATAGAACCAGCAACCCCTGGATTACAAATTTTGATGCTCTTCCTACTGAGCTAAGTCGGGGATAGATACAAAAAAAACCCAGTTCAGATCATTTTATTTAACACACTTCACTGTTATAATATCTTTGTTAACATTTGGCTATAATGTATAGCATATAGTTTATGAATTAATAATATGTTTATTAATATTATAAGAATCTTACTGAATACACCGGCAACCAGTATAGACCGAAATATGGAGCTGGTTGGTAACTGTTTTAAGGTGGTCACAAGACTGTATAGAGTTTGGGCTAAAACAGTTACTCGGAGATCTAGTTATTCTGATCTGTAACATCAACCAGTGTTTGATTCTTTTTCTTGCATATTGCATATTTATCACATTTCAGAAAAAAAAAAGAATATTCATTTACCACTTTCTCTATCAATTTACAACTTCATTCATAACAGTAAAAATGACATCATGACAAAAATTTATGATAATAATACTCTCATTTCAGCTACTGATTCTACAAAGAACCTGTTGATGGATGAAAGTGAAACCAGCGAACATTTTCTTTCAAAAAGGTGCAATATTTCTAAAATACCAAATCAATTAAATACCTGTTTAAATCCTGAAACTTGACCTTTAGGTAATGGTGGGGGTACTGATACAGGTCTCCTGACCTCTCCATCCTTCACTAGTCGACACTTCATGAAATGTTTCCCGGTCTCAGTAATCTCTACACTAACCATCTTTCCCATCAAGTTCTCATCTTGGGGTACCAGCACCTGTTTGTTATATAACAATAGCTATATATTATCAACAATGAAATTTGTATAATCTCCAGTCTATCAATTCAGCCAAACACCTTAATAATCACTACCCTGAATTTATTTTTATAAGTATAGTAGTATACATTTTTTTTGTTCTGGTTATTTTTACAAGCCTAAGTATAGTTGTATACATTTTATTTGTTCTGGTTATTTTTACAAGCCTAAGTATAGTTGTATACATTTTATTTGTTCTGGGGCCTTCCTGGACAAGTGGTTATGGTCTTAACTTTAATCACTTGTTCCTTACTACTGAGAGTTTGAATCTCATGATGACATCACAGGTATTCAAGTCTTTAATGTGAGGAATGATGCCGCATCTATCTAGATAGATTATAAAAGTTTCTTGACTCTACTCAGAGGCCTCCTAATGCTTGAAATAACACACAGTGAGGTACTTGAGGTCTTCCTTTAACAATAACACTGGCAAGTCACCATTATGACCTTAAAACAAGTTTGGTGTGACTCAAAATCCAACATAGTGTTCTATATCCTCTCAGTGTTTTCTACTAGTATATCTTTTCTCAGTTTGTAACTAAAACAGCTGTTAAGAAAAACATTATAACAATATGTATCAACATCACCAATAATTCTCGTTGAAATTAGCTTACTTCTTGCAACTGTTTCATAACATGTTCAACACTGTGTCATTGAAAATTTTTATTTGGATAGTAAAATATGGTACAATGTATTCATTTGTCAAATAAGCTTCTTCCTACATCATACAAAATTATATTGTTGAATGTAGATCAAATGAAATATTTTGTTAGGCTTTCAAAAAATATATGGCCCATAACATTATGTTCATCCAAGTTTAAATGGTGCTTGTTTTAGTAATTTTAGTCAAAATAAAGTCAAAATAACTTAACATTTTGAAAAAAAAAAAAAGAAAAAATGTTTTTAATGCTATATGCTGTGTCTCAAACGTTAATAAAAAATCATGTCACCCAGAAATTTTTCCATTTTAAGACATATCGGTAACATTCACTTGATAAAACAAGAGGGCCATGATGGCCCAGAAGTCACTCACCTACTATATGAGGCCCCTGTAGCTGGGCCAGTTTAAACCCATGGCTTTTATTTGAACAAACTTGGTAGACACCCATTAGAAGGAAAGTGTTTCATGCTATAAACATCTAAGGTCTAGCTGGTCAAGTTTTTTCTTTACACATATAGTTAAAAACCAATGACACGACACATGGGGGCAGGGCCAGTTTGGACACCAGGGAGCTTTCATTTGAACAATCTTTGTAGACACTTACTAGCACATGTTTCATGCTTAATATCTGAACTCTAGCTATTCGGATTTTTCGAAGAAGATCTTTAAGTTTTTACTATATGCATGTAGGAAAATCAATGACCCCCTGGGGGCGGGGCCAATTTTGACCCAAGGGCTTTTATTTGAACAAACTTAGTAGACACTCACTAGAAGATGTTTCATGCCAAATATCTAAAGCTCTAGCTCTTTGGGTTTTTTAGAAGAAGATATTTAAAGTTTTTTCTTTTGGTTGCCATGGCAACCAGAGTTCTGCATGGAATTTAAATTCTTTGAACAATTTTCAAAGGTGACCACCAAAGGAATATTCCCTGTGAAGTTTGGATGAAATTGGCTTCGTGGTTTATGAGGAGATGTCATTTTAAAGTAAAAGTTTACGGGACGACAGACGGACGGCAAAATGGACGGACGGACGCCGGACGAAAGGCGATCACAAAAGCTCACCCTGTCACTTTGTGACAGGTGCAGCTAAAAAAGTGGGGCAGTCTTTTTTTCCTGATCCTTCATCATAAGCCTAAAAACTAATATTCAACATTTTGAAATTATATAGCTTTATTCAGTTCAACTTGACAAAGAAAACAAATGAGCACAATATCACATTGAAATATTTTTGTAGACTTTCCCAGCACATACGGCCTACATTGTAATTTTTTAGACTTTCAGCACATTCAGCCTACATGAAATATTTGTATCATGTTACCTGATCATAAGACTTGTTATGGCCTACGTAATACTGTTTATCATGTGAGATTTTTCCGTGACTAGCACTTCTTGTATTTCACCAAGCTGAAAATTGACATTGAGCAAATACAAAATTCCACATGGAAATATTCTCAAAGCTACCTGCAAACTATTACAAAGAAATAAATGATTAAACTGTTCAATACTTTGTTTATGTTACAGGTTAACATCATTTTACAGGGAGAAACCAGTGAGTAAACAGGTCTCTTAAATCCACTATCTATCATAATTGATTTCTCCAGTAAATATAGGAATGGTGGAAGTAAATATATTCTCATATCAGGAAGTTACCATGCCTGTTTATTTAAAAGGTTATTTATTTTAAAGGACATGCCAGCTTGCTGCCTGAAATAAAGCATGCAATGGCACTAAGTTCTTACTACCACTGAAACTACTAGAAAAATCATGAAGTGACCTCAATAGCTGTTAGATTACATATTCTTCTAGTATATTCTACAAATAAAATGACCAACTGAATGTTATACAGAAATTTCTCAAAGGTTATAAAAGAAATTATGGTATATGATTGGTTAGTAAACTGGTACAGATTGTATACTGGCCCAATGGAAATCCCAAGGTTCAAGACAGAGCTCAGAATTATCATTTAGAGGTCAGAACCTCTGGGCCCAGAATGAAAACATTATACCTTTATTTTCAGATTTTCAATTCCATCACCCTAGTTGTAGTTAGAACAGATAAAGCTTCACTTTGTCAAAATGAAATTAAAATTTACTAAAATATACAGAGAAAATATGTGTATTTTCTCATTGTTTTTCTTTTGTCAACAATAAGACTTTGAATTTCTATCATATGACAATAACTACAAGAATGTACCTTGTGGGTATAGGGATGATATGACTGGAATAATTCTGACACTCTCTTAGTTCTCTTCTTAACCTGAAATAATGATATAGTAAATTAGTACACAAAATGGTAAATTAAAAATTTTGTATAATATGCAAAATAATAAACTGTTTTTTTTTTGTTTTTTTTTTTGTTTTTTTGTAAAGGTCAAGGTGACTTTCCAACTTTATCATCATCATCATTGGTATCAGATCTTCATCATGGACAAAGGGGCAACAGCATCATCATAATGATAATCATTAACAAGAACAACAACAACATCAAATATTGTCAACTGAACAATTTGAAGAAATTTAAATCTGAAGAGGGCCACAGTCAATTAAGGTTATATAAAATGTGTCCTTAAAAAAATGCAAAAAAAAAGCCATTTCTCCTTTACTATCTGGATACAGATATGGGTTGACAGAAATAGTATTATAAGCCATATTATGCATGCAAGATGTTTATAGTTTTCTTTTTCTTCTTCAAAACTTTAAATATTTTTGTTATTAAGTTTGATTTTTTAAAACTTTGGTTTCCTCATTTGGAGGTGAGTCTCTTTGACAGTCCTGCTACAATGCACTGTGCTTTTCTTCACTTAAAACAAAATTAGATGTACTGTTTTATAGATTAATGACAAGGTATTTTATATAACAATATATATCAAAAATGCCGTGTTTTGTGTTACAAACTACTTAGCTGGAGTATTGGCCTAGTGGTTATTGTGTCTGCCTCTTAACCAAGAGAACCCTGTTTTTGAGCCAAAATTGGGTCACACAGTAAACATTTTATAAAACACCAGTAGGCCTACTGGTCAGTTATAAAACTTAAAAGTGGTTCCAACAGTAGATCAAACAAGAAACAAGCTTGAAAATATAATGCTTAACAAAATATTGGCACATTTATATTTAACTTAAATATTGAGGAAAATGTTGAGAATCATACGTCTGGTGGAGGTATCCGAGGCATGTTTGCTGCCGGTGTTCCAGGACGTGGGAAAAACTGATTGATAAATAAACTTGGGAATTTGTAATCTCTAACAAGCTGCATAGTTTCCTCAAAATCATCCTCTGTCTCTGTCGGAAATCCACATATCAAATCTGTTGCTATGGTTACATCCGGGACTCTGAAAGGAACAATACCTTTTATATCAGTGCTTGTGCATTAAATACATTATCATAATGACACAACTCAAGCATGTTTATTCAAATGTTCAGATTCACATTTTTAGATATGAATGATGTCTCATAATAATAGCCACTTTCTCTGCAATTGACCAACTATTTATTAATCATGTTTTTTAAATCAGCGGTGAGAAAGAAATGCCCTTCAGACTGTATATCATAGATCAATTGTAAAGAAGAAATTTCATCTAGTATTGCCCGAGGATCGGATCAACAACCTCTGGATTACAAATAGATGCATAGCGTAATGAGCTAAGCAGACTGCAACTTCACTTCCACTTCCTGGAACATATCAGTACTGATCATCTTATTCATGACCAGATTATGGCTCGAACCTTTAAATACTGGGTTAAGAAGCAGATACCTTAACCACTAGATGAACACTCCCTCTTTAAAGGTCATAAAGTTATTGAATAATAATATTATAAAAGAGTACTGATATTGTATGTTGACTTTTTTTTTAAATAGCTCAGTTATGTTATTAAATTAAACATACTTAATCCCGTACTTCTTTTGGATAACCAACAGAAAATAGAAAATAAAACAACATATGGACAGAATTAGGGAAATTTAAGTTACTAACTGTTGTTTGAGAAAGTCTGCCACATGTCTGAAGTCAGCCTGGCAATATTCTCTCTTCATGTCCATAAGTACACTATCAGAGGCTGATTGCACAGGTACATGTAGAAATGAGTAAACTCGTGGGTGCTGCAAAATTTTAGCTATTTCCTGTAAGAGAAAATATTTGCAAAAATCAAATTCTAGCAAAGTACAATACCAGAAAACTTGTCTGTCTGTCAGCCATCAATGTTAGGGATTCAAATCTTATAAATTAATAATTAAATTCATAAATTGAAAAGAGGCAATTTTCCAGTTCCTGTTGAACACATTACCAATTAAATCTTGAAAATTTCGAAACAATTGTGAGTAGAACAGAAGAAAAATTAGCGTTTTAATGTCTAACTTGTTATTTTTGTTTGTTTCATTTTATGCCTTTTCCAACAGTATTTCAGTTATATAGGCATGTAGTTTCCTAACCATTGTTCCTGGAGAGTTACATCAGTACTAGACTACCTTCCTCCATGCTAAACTACCAAAGCATCTCCCGGGGATCAAACCCACGCCAGAGAGGTAACTGGATAAGAAGTCATCGACTCTAACCCCTCAACCACGGAGGCGGTATAACTTTCGATGTGGCATTCTTTGTTGATTTGAAAGAATATCTTAAACATGTAGAAAATCAAACTTACCGGAAGATGTTCTAATATGTAAGGAGGGTTAGTCATGCCAAGCCTCATTCTTGCTCCTTCAGGGATTACCTCAACCAGTTGCCATAGCAATTGAGGTAATGTCACCCCAATGTCATGACCGTAGGCCCCAAGGTCCTCAGAGGTCAACCAAATCTCTACAACACCCTCTGAAAATGTGAAAGTAAGGCAAAAAGTAAAGAGAAGCTATCACTTTATAACTCATACTTATACATTCAGTAAACTGCTTGCAAACAATCATCTTATAAGATAAACTCATTTTTTGGCAGTAGCAAGTAATCTCAAATTACACAATTATTGTCTGAATTTTGGAATAGAATAATTCTTGCATAGCAGACCGGCATTTCCGTTACTTTTACCCATGCCAGAAATTTCATCTGGCATGGGGGTGCCAGATGAGTTGCGTGCCATACAATGTCATTTAAGCGCATTATATGAATGAACTGCGTTAAAATGACGTCATTTTGGCACATGTTAGAAGGGAACTATGTGCTTAGGATAACGATATTTCGCTGTTGTTATTTAAGTTGTAAATGCATACTCTATTGTAAGAAAATAGTTATGGATGAAATGACATTAATTTCCATGAACAAATATCTTATTGGGGTAAACGATTTTAAATATGAAATAATATGGCTGAATATGAGAGAAAAAATATCTGACATGTTTGCCGTTCGCATCGGAATATCCGTCCCTTGTGAACCCACCCATGGGCAGTAACACAGGAAGCCTCGTTACCCCCCAATGGGCGGGGTCCCTCTGATCTGATCCGCAACATATGACAGATATCATTATTCCAAAATACTTGGATGAAAGCAAATATTAGTTTATACCTTTAAGAGCATTGCACAAAATCATTGCTAAATGGTTAAAATCGTAGTTGAAATAGCAATAGATTTATACTACAAGCAATATTCATGTGTTTTAAATAACTGACACAACTCTTTTGAAAATCAACCATTAAAATATGGAAACAACGTTATTTTACTGACATATTAACTTTGTGAAAATATTTCACTTATACCCTTTAAAGGTAAATTTAATAAACTTGAGATGAAAAAGATCTACTTTGATACAATGAAGAATTTGTTACTACAAATTGGGTAGATAAAGAATGCTTAGTTACACTTTTGTACAGTATCATATAGAACAGGGAGTAGGAAAATGCTAAAATTTAGTACTAATTCTCAAACTTTATACCCTTGATAATGTAGACAATCAATGACCTTGATCAAAACCTCACCCTATGTAACTACACATACCTTCAAAGGATTGTTTTGCACGTGCCACAATTTCTTCTGGAGGGTAGCTGCCTAATTCACCACGAGCATGTTTAGTTTTGCAGTATGTACACTGATTCAAACATCTGAAAATAAAGGGGTTATTTCACCAATAAAGAAAGGATAATGACAAGAAAAACTAATTCACAAAAAATTTTTCCCCCGGTTTTTTTAAAACCCCCAGTTGGTTTAAACCCCAACCATGAAAAAACTAAAGTACTTCACTTTTTAACCGGAAATTTTGGGAGAATTTACCAAGTTTAAATTTGGAAATCTACTCAAGTTTAATACAAAAAAAATAATTAGAAGAGAAAAACCTGGTCGGGGTATACAGATTAATTGCCAATCTCCCATTTTTTTTGTTTTTTAATGTAAAACAACAAATATGGGTATAGCAATTTCCCATTTACGGGTTGGAAGACCTCAGGGGCCCCTTCATGAATTTTTTCAACAAAATGGGCACAAAAAAGAAAGGGCCAAAAATTTTTGGAAAGCTCTGAAAGTTTCCCTCTCATGAAGAATAAAAAATCCCGTGGGATTGCTCAACACCAATAAAGGGGCAAGTTTTTAATCATTGCCCAAAAACCACTCACCACGAGCCCCCTCCTAACTCTATACCGGTGACAAATGTTTATCAGTTTCAGTAGTGTAAGGGTTCAAGTTATACAAAATAATATAACTTCAAGATTTTCTTTGAACAATCAGAATATAGATTTTAACCATATAAATGATATAATATTTTAAACCTTCATCTTTCTCATATATGCTCATTTTTAACCTAACCACAACAAAGAAAATTAAAGACTTGTACAAGAATGTTTTAATTAATTAACAATGTTTTTGTAGATGCCATAACAAGCTCTCACAATAGATAAAAGTGAAAAGTTTTAAACAAAATTCGAATTCATGAACATGAAATATTTAAAATTGAAATTAATTCTTATCCAGTAAACTTTGTTATTTGTATTTATTTTGTTTATTTTAGCTCCATAATAAGTTTTTCTTCATTTTTACAGAGAAATATCAACTGTATAAAGCACAGAAAACAAAATATGCTGATCCATACTTATTTCTCTTTGAGAAAACATGACCAAGTTTTAACAAGTTCTTTGTAGAAAGTGCCTTTGCATTATTTACGTGAAAACAATAATTCTCTTAATGTTATTCCATTATCATTATTTTCAACCTATTCAATTTAATATTATCATTTCCTAAATATCTTAATACAAGGGCTGTAAGTGAGCAAGTAGAAACAGGAAACAGACTAACACATACAGAAATGACAAAAGTCTCTTCAAATCTATCTACCTCAAATACATCATATAACTTGTAAACAAAAAGTGGGCAATCACACTCATTTTCTGCTTCGCTTACCCTGTGTTAATTGCAATTATTTCTATGAGTGGATTTTTCCTAATCTTCGGTAGATTTAGGGATGCTCCTCCTACTTTCTTCCCAGATGCCTTTTTCTGGCCCAACATTCTAACATTGTGTCCTAGAAGGAAGTAAAAATTACAATTCATAGGAAACTTAATGTTATAATAACTTATTTATGAAAATAAAATATCAGTCTGAATTAATCAATAGCTATTTCGCAAATTACGCAATACATTTTCATTCCAACAATTTACTATAGTTTCATATATTCTATCAAACATTTCACACATAAAATTCGAACAGTAGATGATTTTTCATTGTTTTGAGACAAAATGAGCAATCTTCATATAAAACAATGCGACAATTTTTTTTATTAATTTCAGCACCATTAACCTAAACTGACTGTATAATTGATTCTGACAGTAAGATTCATATTGTCATGATTGATTGTCAGACTGGTTGGGTTTAACATCACATCAACACAGTTGAACCACTGACATTCCATAAGCTAGCTAGATAGCTTCCTAACATTGAAATAAATCAAAGTCCCTTGTGGGATTTGAACCCCCAGTGGTGAGAAGCAAGTGGTTTAAAATCAGCATTCTTAACCATTTATACATGTACAAATTGTCACAAGAATACTTATCATCATCAATATCTTTGAAGATTTATCAGTCAAACTGAGACAGGAATGACAATATTTGTGGAGTGGAAAATTTACAAGTACAATTCTAAATTCTAACACAACCCGCATTTTTCCCTATTGAACATTGAAAAATGGAAAGTGTGTGTTATTATGCTATAAAGTCACTGTTTGACGTTCTATATTTAGACATGTGACGTAATATTTAGACATGTGACATAATCATTATACACGTAACATAACCACTTAAAATGTGACGCGGTGACAATAAGTACGGAAACAAATCAGGTGCAATTTTGCTTAATATTAGGTACGGCAGCATTTATTTGTTGATGTCATGTTAGAATCGAAATAATATATCCAAATCGGTGATTTTATCGCTAGATAACATCACTGTTTGTCGTTCGGATGCGCATCATTATATCACTCGGGCTACGCCCTCATGATATAATTTGTTGCATTGGAACTCCAAACAGTGATGTTATTCAACTTATTGAGCGATAAAAGCACTGTTTGGGATATATTATTTCTTAAATACATCATAATCATAACTGTGTAAAAAGTTTTGAAAGTCTGTGCTTTAAGTAAAAATTGAAAACATTTTTTCACTTATAGATTTGAATTACCTTTTAAAGTTTCTTCAACAACTTCAACTACCCGGTCTATCTGCTGTACACCTACTACACTCAATCCCTGAAATAAATCATTCATCACTTAAGCTCTGAAATAAATCATAAAACACTTAACCCCTGAAATAAATCATTCATCACTTAAGCTCTGAAATAAATCATAAAACACTTAACCCCTGAAATAAATCATTCATCACTTAACCCCTAAAATAAATCATACAGCACTTAACCCATGAAATAAATCATACAGCACTTAACCCATGAAATAAATCATACAGCACTTAACCCATGAAATAAATCACACATCACTTAACCCATGAAATAAATCATTCATCACTTAACCCATGAAATAAATCACACATCACTTAACCCATGAAATAAATCATTCATCACTTAACCCATGAAATAAATCATACAGCACTTAACCCCTAAAATAAATCATACAGCACTTAACCCATGAAATAAATCATTCATCACTTAACCCATGAAATAAATCATACAGCACTTAACCCATGAAATAAATCATACAGCACTTAACCCATGAAATAAATCATACAGCACTTAACCCCTGAAATAAATCATACAGCACTTAACCCATGAAATAAATCATTTAATATTTAATTAACCCCTAAAATAGATTTCTATATTCTAACCCCTGAAATAGATTATTTATATCCTAACACCTAAAATATTTGGGTTTGGAAAGGGAAAGTTGGATATTGAAAATTGATACCACTACATTGATTACTCAACACAATATGTTTGGCTATGTCATAATCAAACAGACGGAGAACGTTGTTAATATAAAACTTCATCTATTTCCCCATAGAACAAAACAACAAAAACTGATAATTTAAAATCACAGCTTGCTCTAAAGTGATAATGAACACTACAACAGTTTTTGTTGTTTTGTTTATACCCCCCAGACCCATGAGTAAACAACAATTCTAAACAAGTCTGGGAAAATTCAGTATTTATCTGACAAGTTGAAATAATATCAGATTAAACATGAAATATTATCAGGCCAGACCTATGCCAACATTTTAGCAGCAGACAAGCCAGTAAAACATCTACACTGCCACCTGCTTTTCTAGAATTAAATCATTTAGAATTATCTATGATAAAATGTCTAATTATCTAACTGCTTTTATAGATATATATATAATAAAATGTCTAAAATTATCTAGAATGAGTAGAATTGTCTTTGAAACACTTTCCACTAACAATGAGCAGTTCCAAATCTAAAGCTGGACAAGTTGATTACAAACATTTTGGTAAATAATGACTAAATATATAATACTATACCTGCATATAGTCTCCTTTTGGTTGACCTTGTGGTACACATCCTGCTATCACAATATATTTCTCCAGTTGTTTAGCCAAATTTATCTCATTTCTAAAGTGGTCCTCCGCTGGACTTTTCACAGTACAACTGTTCAACAACCACAGGTCTGCATTCTTCTTCTCATCTAAAACACAGCACACCTTATCTTGTTTAATAATTAAAAGACAATTTATTGTGTAACTGTTTACCTGCAAGAACCCAAAGGGGCTAGTCCAATGTGCACATATGTTCACTGCAGTCTGGCCAAGCTCTATACTTTTTGATAGATTCACTTTTGTATTTTGATATTCCCCTTGATACTCAAATGAACTGTTCTCAAGTAGAAGCATGGCAACTCAATGACACTATATCTGTAGATTCACCACGTAGAATTAATATATTTTTCAACATGTACAATGTATCAACTTCTCCATTTGACTATAACCAACACTGACAGTGACTTCAATACAACAAACATCAACTTTTTACTATAGAAAACAAGCAGTCATAACTAAAACTTAAAATTTAAAGAAATCCAAACAATATTGATTTTGCATTCCCCAACCACCCCCTCCCCCACATTTTTAATAAGGAAAAAGGCCACCTTACATGTAACATGGTCTGAAAATTAAAGATTATGAATAATCCTAGAAACTGTTATCCAAATATGTCTTGCACATGGTTAAAATTATTGCACATGCATGAAGCATCCCCCCTACAACTACATTTAAACTATGGAAACTGTTGAAATCTTATCTCTGTTGTGTCTAGCATGACAGCATTTTGCTTACTTTCAATCTTAAACCTAAGATTCACAAAAGGCAATTTATTTCTCTTTTCTTTTTTACTTTCTATTAAAAAAACACAGACTCACCAACAATTTTGTATCCATATGCTGCGAGCTGACCAGCCATATATTCAGAATCAGAATTATTATGTGAGCAGCCCCATGTTTTTACATAAACTTTCTGTGTTCCTGAAATAAAAAAAAAATCACAAAAATGAAAGAATGGTGATGAAAAACAGTAAACAAAGACAAAAGCTCAATGTTTACAGTTTCTACAATTTTATCACAGTGTAATGTAGCTATTTATAAAAATAATAATAATGATAATTTAACATGACATCATTTGATTTAAATACAAACATTGGGTTTAAGCCTGCTCAACATTACAGATTTATAACATTTTTTTCAAATCAGTATCTCAATCAAAAGAAAAATATCAATACCATTTGTATCTATGTCAGCTGTACATACAAATGTTAAAAGCACATAAATGATACACACCTGGTATGATACTATCAGCATTAACTTTTTCTGTTGCCACTTCAGTCTTGTGTTTCCTAGCTCGAGGTACAACATGTTTCTTATTCCCTGCTCTAATATCTGTCCCTGTTTCCCCCGTCACTATATCTTCAATATCTTCTAGAGGTACATCTCCAGAGAGAGGCATCTTTACTGAATTATATTGAATCATATGTTAAATGACAAAGTTATGGACTGGACGAAGTTCTGACAGAAGGAAAAACACCCAAATGTTCAACAGTTGCTATTCTTAAGTGGTATTTTGCAATTTAAAAATAAGACCACTTTACAAAAGTGATTAGGAATTTTTCATTTCCGGTGTCAAGGTATAAATCAACTGCTCATATTTGAAAATATGTCAGAGTTTCATAAGCTTTTGTTTCATTTATGCATTGTTCACTGACAACATACTTACATAGCAATTGGTTTTACAGAGACAAAATGTAATTTAATCGTATCATGTAAACATTTTATAATATTTCATGATGTTATTTACAAATATTTGCAGGGTTCTCACTAGGACTTTAAAACATGGAGTCCATGGACTCCCAACCCTGAAAAAGTTGGAGTCCAAAAGCGCGTTGCAATTAATATGTTTACAGATTAGTCATTCAATGCTCACAATTAGCATCAGGGCTCATCCTGGGGGGAAATTTTAGGGAGAAGTGACTTCCTCGCGAAAAATAGGGAGAAGGGAAAGAACCCAATGTGTATGCATTAACATGCATGGCTATACATCCTTTAACTATAATATAAACACAATTAATCTATTTATAAGCTTTCTCTAAATATTTGTTTATTTATTTTCATGTAGATTTATTGATAATAATGTGTAAGAAAAAGTATGATGAATAAATTAATTTTTTATTATATACATTCCTCACTTTTATTAGAAGATATAGTTGCATTGGATATTGCTGAACAATATCTGTCTGTTCTGTTAAAATGATTACAGAAAATCTTTTAAGATCTTGTATGTTGTAATGTCACATTTATGTGCATATAATTATGCTTATAAAACAATTTTCAAACATCGAAGAATATGTAAAATATGTACTGCAAACATTTGTGCACATTATATTTGATCACTAAAATTATATACATTCATTTCTTATTGAAAAAATTGACTGAGAAATTATAGAAAATAAATTTCTAATTACCTCCCTTTATTTTCATGAAATGTTTAACTCGTAATATCTTTATAAATAATGCTTTTTGAAATTTACAATATTGATAAATCTTAATATGAGGCGTCATATTTATGACATTAGAACAAATATATATATTGAAACTATAAGAACACTTTTTCCTGACAAAATTTGTTGTTTATATACATGTACACATGATATACGACCGATATGTAGCATGCCGATCATTGATTCGTAGTTTTTCTTTTACTGCTAGGTTTGGGCATTTTGCCCTGTAGCCATGATGTGAGCGACATAACAATTTTTAATTCATGTTAACGGACTGAAATCATTCAAAACTATAATTAAGGTTTTAATCCGGTCGCTGATCATTAATGAAATTGATTATTTTTAATTGACTAACAGTTTTGTGATAGCCGTGAAAAACCCATTGCACATCGCCATTACTCGGGTTAAACACCGCGTGTATATTAATTAGGGAAGATATGCACGTGTTTAGATGATCGGGGAAAAAACAATCTATAATTATCGCCTATCGCAAAACTGTCACACAATTATACCCACAGGGGGCCCACACAGTGTTTGGATGGTATATACTGCTTGATAGTGACCTTAAAATAAGATTTTAGTCATAACCTTATAATATGTATATAAATATAGACTATTTATGTGGGCCCCCTGTGATTATACCCGTTTCGGGCCGATGCTCTCATTATTTACTGTTTAGAGTAGGCGGTCTATCGCTGTGCATACAGGTAGAAGGGTAGTATAAAGCGACGCTCTGATTGGATAATGATAATTAGCAGTCGTCAAATGGGCGGATACAATCTCTGCTCTTTACATCGCCAAGTAATTACTCTTTGGGAATTAAGATTTTATCGGCGATGTTGACTTCTCTTTGATCAATTGGGAGAGCGAAATGGAAATATACACGGCGAAGTTTTCGCCTGAATCGCCCTTCCGGATGAGCCCTGAGCATTGCTTATATTTTGAATCTTCAAGAGACTTTCAAAGTTTATAGTTATTCAAAAGAAACTCTGAACTACATAGTATAATAATTGTTTTGTTGTTTATATTTATTATAATGAAATTATTCCATTATAATGCATCAACAAATGGAAATTGTTTTTTTTTTTTTTTTTTTTTTTTTTTTTTTTAATACCAAATCAAATTTTTTTCTGGTAAAATAAGTCCATTCTAAAGACAAAAAGTTTATATTTGTAAAAAAAAACGTAAATGTATATAGGAAGCATTTAGCGGAATGAATAGGAAAATCGTGTACAGCTTCACACAGTGTGTAAGAGATTCATCCGATCGACAAGTATCTTCAAAAGGGGGCAAATTGAAGATCGATATTTAAAGATTTAATGTTAATTAAATAATAAAGGAACAATTCATTCACATGTTTGGTTTGGAAACTGAAAATTTTTACGAAATTTTAGGGTTTCTGGCGAACGTGAAATCGCCGATGTTCGGGATCAATTTTCGGAGAGGATCTAAATATCAAAGAAAAGCGTATGTGTATTTTGGTTTGTTGTCCTGGCATTTCGGCACAATGTTTTAAATTCTTAATACTTTTATAGAACGTTTTTTGCAAGAATGAAACTAAAGCAAAATTGTGCCTAGAAAATGCCGAAAATATTCGACAATCATTCAAAATTACACTCATTTGTATCTTTAAACTTGCGGAGTAAATAGTCGATAATCGGTAAAATTTGCTAATTTCCAATCAACTGTTGATCGAAGATATAAAATTATCACCTCGTGTTATATCTGGTAATTACTTGTACAGCGCGTGTATACATTATTCTGATCACTATTGCGTGATAATGATCGGAAGCGTTATCGCTAATTGGCTAATCGCTTCACGGGTTGATGTGCATAGGACCGCCTACATGTACCTACAGACTGACACGCGCTGACGTATTTGTGGTTGTAAACAATCAGTAATGTTAAGATTCTATGCGTCCCCAGGCAAAATTAAGCGTACGTGGAATCCTTGCTCTGAAAAATTTGCGTCCAGCTGTAATAAACATGCGTACCGGGACGCCGAAATAAGCGTCCCCGAGAACCCTGTATTTGATGTTTAATTTTGAGAAATTTCAAAATGGCGCCATTTGTCTGCAAACATAATGAACAAGCAATCTATGTTTTCAATAGATTATGCCTTTCTAGAACATTATTTTCTAAATGATTCATCTATTTTTTACAAGTTTAAAGGTTTTTAATGAACAATATGTTGAATTTTCATTTTTGCTATTGTTTTCAATGTTCGCCCTTTTCTTGAACACTAACATAATTTGCGTATAGCAAACTATACCGAGTTATACCGAGACATGTTTAATTGTAGCGAAAAGGGTTTACATAAAATTTCCAGACCATAATTTCTATTTGAAAGACCCTGATCTTATCCAGCTTGCCAAATTGATACACAATTTTTTTGCAGACAGAGAAATTTTGGGGGCAGTTTCGGAATCTGTTCACTGCAAAATCCATGTTTTAAAATCCTAACCCAAACCCCTAACCCTTAGACAATGTTAGAGTAATCCGAGTGATTTTGTAGAGAAACAGTCAAATACAACTTATTTGAGGAAATTTATAATAGAGGTTAAAATAGCTGCGGACAGATTCTAAAGTCTAGCAAAAGTTTGTTCGATCTCAAATATTTTTTGTAATACCATATAGCCTGCAACACAAACAAGAAAATTGCAACTTGTGACACAATACCGGATGTTGTGCGTGATGTTGTTGTTGTACACTAATTTTGGTAAACGCCGTGTTATGCCGTCACTGCTAAACCACGTAACTTTTCGGGTACGGAATAGGTGCTATAGTTTGATTGCTTATATTCTAATATTTTAAGTGAATGAATTACACATCTGTTATTTTGTATAATATTTGTTAATTCTAAACGATGTTTTATGTGTATTCTTCATCAGGACCTCATTTCTAAGAGGAAGGATCACTCAACATATAGCCCCCCCCCCACATTGGAATTTTCTCATAGACACTTGTTTTGTGGTGCTCCAAACGACTTAAAATTCAATTAAAATGTATATTTGTGAATGCAAGCATGTAAAATATCACATATATCAATAAAAATTATTATAATATAATCTATAAATAGTGTTGAAATACCTTTCCCTGCATGATTTGCTATATTTAAACAGGGTCTTTCAAATAGAAATCTATTTGAAAGACCCGGCCTGATTTAAATAATCAGCACTCTTATTTCTATTCAACGAAGATATAGTTTTCGACACTTCCTCCACACTGAGGACAATCTAACTGTTCAATATATAACGGTGTATCACGTGGCTGAATAAAATCGTCTGCATTAAAATTACTGTGCTGCAAATTAGAGATATTTGAAAAATGGTTAACAAAACTATTTGAATCTAAGTGGCTACGTTTGAATTTATTTATGTACTTCCAAAACTTACGCGGTGAGGTTTTTGACATTTGTGACAGATTATTTTTTCTTTAGAGTAAAATATCGCTTCCCTTGCTCGCCTCTTAACCTTTATATATTCCTTTCTACTTGACAAAAATAACAACTTATTATCATTACACTTATTTGCATTAAAGAGAATGGACACTTGAAAAATGTAGAATATAAAAACGGGAAATACTGTGTCAAAAAAAGGTCCAGAGGAAATGTATTCAACGAGCCACTTCCAAATCAACCGTCGGACAACGAAGTTTACATTTTAAGTAGGTATTATACACAGTTAAAAAGAGAGCAAACTTTCAAAAAACGTGTTTTATACTTCACGAAGAAATCTGATCTAAATGTTGCGAGTGTCGCATTGTACGAATACCAGGGAAATCAACCCATTGAATCTAAACCACATGGCAATGCACGGATGGGAAAAAACGTTCACACGAACTTATCCAAAGACAGTGGACAAGCTGAAACAGTTGAATGAACATGACAAACCTAAACAGATTTTCCATCGTTTAAAAAAAGACGATTCTATGGATTGTCCTCGTGATTTTAAAGTTATTAAGAATATATAAAATATAAAAGTAAACAGAAAGTTCAGCACAAATGCAATCAACGTGACAATATAGCTGATGAAATACTAGAAGTTCTAAGTATAATAAATGATCACCCCAATGTCTAAACATTTATACACCACAAAGACAAGGTCCCTTCCATAATATGCTATACAAATGAACAAATGAATGATCTTAAACATTTCCTTAGGAATGGCAAGAAACAGCCAATTGGAATAGACAGAACCTTCAATTTAGGGAATTTTTTTGTGACAGTTCTAGTTTACAAAAGTCAAAGAATTTTCCGAAAGAACACAACTGAAAACCCAATTTTCTTAGGACCAGTTCTTTACATAAAGACACTTCATACAACACATACAATTTTTTTCTGCAACAAATAGCCACTGAAGAAGATAGTGACAATATGATACAATTGAAATGATAATTTCAGAAAATATGGAATTCGGTACAGATGATGAAAAAGTCCTTACTAAGGCAATTGAAGAAGTGTTTCCATCAGCTGATAGATATTTGTGTACCAAGCATCTAAAAGACAATGTTAAACATTACCTTCAAAACAAAATCGGCGTTGAAGTTAAACAAAGAAACATATTAATGAATGATTTGTTTGGTAGCGGGGGCTTGATAGATGCAGACTCCACTTTGGATTTTGAAACTAAGGCCTCAGAGTTTGAGGAAAAAATTGACAAAGAAAACGATTCTCTAAAAACGTATTTCTGTAACAACCTTAAACCAAGACTGTTAGAATTTGTCTTCAAACCGAGTCACGAAACAAATGGATTTAAGAATTGGACAAACAACAACGCAGAATCAATGAACAATATACATGTACTCAAACTATCTTTAGACTAGAAACCGAAACGAACCAGTGAACTAATCGAAAAAATGTATGACATAACAAATCTCCATTTCATGGATTATCGAAGTGCCCTCCATGACACGGGTAACTACGACCAAACGCCGAATGAACGTCGTGTTTACCATATAACGGACTCAATTTGGCGCTGAAAGACAGAAGAAGAAAAAAATGAAATATTTAACAAATTCTTGATGAACAAAAAGAGACTGATAAAAATGAAGTATGTTGAAGCCAAAAACGGAAAGTACACAGTTATTGATAAAGCTAGTGGTGTGGCTAAGAAACCAGGACAGCGCAAGCGTCCCCTCAGAAAGAACTAGGAAGCGATGATCCCAAAAACTAGTGTCCCAAATTATAAAGACAAAAAATACAGTGCACATGCATTTAAATGTTCATGCTGTGAATATGAAAAGTTAATGAATTTGCATGCATATTGCTTGACTTTTTGTAGCAATGCCTTTAACAAACAGAAAATAAAAACTGACCAGTAAATTTTAGAAATGCCGGAAATGTGTGAATTAATAATAAATCGATCACTGGAATATACCAGGTATATTCGGGTAGAATAGTATAAACTGATTTCAGACCTATATATACATACATGTACATATAATGTTATACATAATGCTGTATAAGTAGCAATATGATATTTGTTAATGAACATTTTATTTGTGTACTTACTTGTCTTTCTATTTGCTGCTTCGTATGTGCTATATAACAGATGCATTCTTTTTACCAACTCATGCAATTAGTTCAATAATCCACTCTCAAAACTATGGAAGCAATATAACTTTGTCATTTTTTTTTTATATTTTAAGAATATTTTTTTGTTGCAAACAATTGTTAAATTAAGCTTTTTTAATGACGGGGTTTCTCCATGCTTAACTTTGCCATTTTTGTCGCTAACATTATTTTCTTTAGAGAACTATCATCAATGAAAATTATTTTTTTACTACTAAGCTGTAGTAATATGGCATTTAAGTCTATTACTTTTTTTCCCTTTGTGTAACCATGTTTATCATATTGTCTGTTGTGTCTTTAATAAATTGTCTCAAGTTTAAAAAATAAATAATATAATTATGTTTGTTAAAAAAGTGAATTCAAGTGTAACTGTTTGTTGCCATGCCATTTTGTTGAAAAAAAAGACTTTGTTTACATATTTAATTAAAAAAAGAGATTAAATGGTCTTACATTTTTTGAAATCCTTATTTTTTATTTTAAGTGAAATAATTATATCTGTAAACTTATACATTTGTTAATTGACCATTGTACTTTTCCTACTTTTCAAACATTGTCGCTGCTATGTAATGCAAGTTATATTTTTAATTAACACACACAACCACATACAAACACATACAAACAAACATATTATTAAATTATGATTGAAGAAACACAAGAATTACATCTTATTTTTTTAACTCCAACCTGTCACACAAGTCCATGGAGTTAATTCCAATATTGATATCGGTTGTATCTAGTTACTCCCCTGAGATTATCTCCTACAGGGTCATATATTAATAAATTTTTCCAATTTGAAGTTAATTTCCATTAAGAAGATTCTTGGGATGTCTTGCGGTAGTCTTTGGGCGTCTTAGGGTAGTCTTTGGGTGTCTTGGGGTAGTCTTGAGGTGTCTTGGGGTAGTCTTGGGGTGTCTTGGGATAGTCTTGGAGTGTCTTTGGGTAAATAGACCGAGCCGCTTAGAAGCATTATTTTGTTAACAATAACAGGTCAACATTTGAGTATACTGTATTCAATGGTAGGATACTACGTCACCGCGCACCTGCTGAATGCTCCCACTTGGACCATTTTTTCGTCGATTCGAAGGTAAAATACAATTTTATTATAAGAAAACGTAAGAGTATTAAAAAATCATGTAGCGCACCAAAGAATGGCTATAGTACTTGAGATAATTGTAAAAAAAGTTTATAGATTTATTGCCTGGTTTAAGCCTGAAAACGGGATAAGTGTTTTTCTCTGAATGCTCCCACTCGGACTTTTCCCGAAACATATATGAAATAAGGTTGAAAACCTTCTTGAAAATTATTTTTAACGTACCGGAACATAAACCGAGTCATGTTTATCAATTTTTCTAGATTAGTTTCAAATATTTCTATTCAGAAATCAGTTTTTCTTAATTCTTTTTATAAAAATGGAAAATGCTCCCACTCGGACTCATCTTCAGAGATGCTCCCACTCGGACCTAAATATATACACATTTTGAAAACACATTGCTGTGTTAAGAATTTATAATTTTTTCAAACTATCTTTATATTCAAGTTCATATATTCATATTATCAGTAAGAATTCAATGAAAATACGATACTAATATTTAGATCACTAAATTTTGACACATTGTATCATAACAGTCTCGTAAATATGTCTTCTTAGAGGATCAGTTATCGGCCTAAGAATAAGGAAAAAAGGTTGTGTTGAAACAATTCCTCGTTAAATAGAGTCGTTGAAATAAGAAACAAATTGATTATACATTTTAAAAATATATTAAATATAAATTATATATATAATATTTTGTTTTGCAGAAAGTATTTGTGTTTGTGACCAGTATGGGAAAAGGTATAAACCACATTGCGACGTAATAAAGCACATGGTAGGACATCTTGGCACGGCATAGCTGGAGCAAATAGTTTAGATACCAACTGTGGATATATATCTCAGTGAGGAGGAAAACTCTAGAAAACACAAGAATTGTAGCTCTTTGAAGTAATTGTCTTTTGTTCAGTTTTTGCGTTAATCATTGGACAATGTGTCTTAAAGGATCAATTCATCTGAGACTTCACTGCAGGATAGATGTACCACAAACAAGAATAACAACTCTCCAGTTTTGGAGTTATTGCCCTTTGTATTCACTATGATTAGTTTGCAAGGAC